CGTGCTGCGACTCACGGAGTGGGCTCGAACTGCAGCGCCGGCTCCTGGCGGATTTTTTGCCTAGGAATCTCCTGGCCTGACTCGCTATTTCAGATGAATGGGCTATTCTGCCCTCTCAGGGCTCTGCTCGCCAGCTAAGAGGGCTCCCAGACCAGTGGCTTTTGTACGGAGAACAACCGCAGCAACAGGGAGTGGTCACAGCAGCCGCGCGGGCGGAATCAGCCCCCCGGGGGCCAAAACAGCCACACCGGCTGGAACTGCGACGCTGGCGACCCCTCTGCCTGGGTATCTCCTGGTCTGTGGGCAATAAGAGTTCGTCTGGAAATGCGGCGTCCACTCACCGTCTGCACTTTCACTGGGAGCTGAAGTCCTGAGCTGTTCTTAGGCGGCCATCTTCCCCGCATTCGCATGTTTCCTTTTTTGACCCTTTATCTGAATATGTTTCCTGAGCATGCTCCCTTTTTCCACTCTGATTTTAAGATTGCCCAGCAATTAAGTATTTTTATCTATTATGGCTCAGTTCATGAAAAACAAATGGGAGAATAGATGCCGTGCAGGCAACAGCAGTGTCTGACACAACTATGCTGCTGTTACAGAAAAGATCCCCACTATATACTGTGAAGGTTGCCAAAGCGAGTTGCAGAAGAATATGCATATGAGCTTATTATTGTTAAAAAACAAAACAAACAAAAAACTGAACTTCTGTAAATACGTGTTTTTATATGTACATGGAGATATTTTGAGAAGGCTATATGCTAAACTAGAATACAACCAATAATATAGTAACAATTATATTACTATACAATTAATAAATAGGAATTGCATCTAATAATAATAAAACATTTACGAGATATCTACTATAATACTAGGCACTGTTGCAAGTGTTTTAAAAACATTTACTGATTTAATCTTCAAAATCACTTTGTAAGGCTTTACTAACATTATCCTCAACTTACAGATGAGAAAATTGATAAAGGAGGAGTTAAGTAACTTGTCTGAAGTAACAGATCTAATAAATGGTAGTGGTGGAATTCAAACCTAGGCAGTCTGGCTCCCAAGGTATGCTCTTAAGGCCTTACTATATCTGTCTCTGTCTATGTATCTATAGCTATAGCTATTTCTATATCTATATATAATTTAGATATCTACAAGTACATATTATTTTATAATTTAAAAAGAAAAAAAGAAATCACCTCTCCTTAAATCCACCCCAAAATGGCAGTAGCAGTAGCAAAAGCAAGAAGAAAGCAAAAAGAGGATACGATCAATTCCAAGCAAAACCTGGCTATCAGTGAAGATTGTCTTGAGTCCTCCCCTAACACCCCTTTGCCTTTGGGTGCTGTTGCACTCCTCTAAGAGATCACGATTCTCCCCATGCATATACCAAGTCAAAGCATTCTAAACCCAAGCTTTGTTCTGACCTTCCTTTGAAAGCAGCGTTCCTATTTTTTTCCTCTTCCTCTCCCAATGGAACTAGCTCTCCACTCACTTTAGAGTCATGCATTTTTCTTGACAAGTTAGTTAACTACAAAATAATGGGATGATTGTTTTCTCTACATGGTGGAAAAGTTTGAGACCATAGAGAAAATAACCCTATTGCTCCCATTGCTACAGAAATAGTTAACATTTGTATTGTTTTAAAGATATCAAGGAGCTTCCACATGAGGTTGCTCATTTAATTCAGTCTTCATGATCACACTGTGATAGTTTTCATGCACAGTTTACAGGTAGGGAAACCAAGGCTCTGTGAGGATAACTATTAGTTATTAGTCTACTGAGTTCTCACAGCTGAATGGCAAAGCTGATTCAAGTCAGATTATCTTTTTCCCAAACTGCAACAACCTCTTTTTATATAAACTTCCCTGGCCAGGAATCTCCACATATATTAACAATGAATTTTGTGGCTAGAATGGTAAAAATTCATCATCACCACGGGAAAAATAAAGATTGAGGGTGAAAGAAATAGAGAGTGAAGTCAATTACGTGGTACTGCTTTAAGATACACCTGCGTATTTGTTACAACAATCTGAATATCCTTTAACCTCAGTTTCACTTTGGCTTTGATATCGTATCTGAGTATGTGCAAACTATTGGAAAACATCTATTCCTAAATATATTTTTCCTTCTTGCCTAAAGACTTAGCCCCTCTGTTGCTTTATCCAGAAATAAAAAACAGGCTATAACTGAGTACTGATTTGGGTGATATGTGTTGATAACATTGTTGTGTTACAAATACTTTTATATATAAAAATTAAGTATAACTAAAAGATAAAAATCTTAAAAGGCAGAGAAAGATCTTATAAATACAAAATGTGTCCACAATGCATTGCAGAGAGTTTGTTGATTTAAGAAATGCAAACGTAGAAAGCGTTTAGAAATCTGATCATAAAATGATGCAAGTGAAGTCTTTGTTCCTACAATAAACTTGAGTCAAAACAGCAAACAAAGATATCTTATAAGGTTGCTCAACTGTAAATTCCCTGAGAGATTTTTATAACTGGAGGAGAAGTTGAGTAATTTCACAGATACTTTATGTCAACAATCTTGTCCCTACAAATTTGTTCTCAACAAATTGTTGAGCAGTATTGGAAAATCTAAACAGTTTTTTAATTGACAAAATCTGATGTGGTACATTTTAGTGCTTCAATTGAAACATCTGAAGCAGATTAAGTTAACATAGTGACTGAGTCCTCGAATTTAGAATTAAAAGGAACTCGCATACATGTTTTAGGGATATTCCTTTGCCAATGATCAGGAAAGACTTTCTTATTCTTGCTAGGATCTCAAATAATTGATAGATTAACTTTATAAGGAATAAAAAGTTTAGAACCGGAAAAGCAAATGTCAGTCAGAACAGTTTTTCAACAGCATTGTTTTAATTTTTGAGGAAACATTAAGCGATAATTGGTCAGTGTCCATACTGGTTTGTCCTTTCTCTACTTGTGAGATCTCCTCTTGTGCTCTATTTCACATACCCAAGGAGTAAAGGACTTCCGTCATTCCTCTCTGTCCTCAGTCTCCCAGTCCTTACTCAGTCATTTCACTATGTATACACACATCAAAATATTATGTTATACATCTTGAATATATGTATTTTTAAAAAGAAAGGGTCACAATGGTGGTTTACGCAGCCTCCTCACTACAGCTCCCCTTGTAAAGTGTCCTGTCTTCCTCTTTCATATCCAAAATAATTCACTGTAATGACACTTAAATGTAACTTGCTCTCTCAAATTTGGGGCACTGAGAGGCAGGCTTCTTCTACTTTCCAGTAAAAATATTACAAATTAGGCTGGTGCAGTGGCTCACATAATCCCAGTGCTTTGGGAAGCTGAGGTGGGAGGATTGCTTGAGCCCAGGAATTTGAGGCTGCAGTGAGCTGCAATTGTACCACTGCATTCCAGCCTGTGTGACAGAGTGAAAATACGTTTCTGAAAAAAAAAATATTAGCATGCACTCCCAAATTCTCATAATATAGATCAAGATTTGAGGGCCACACAACATCTCTTGCATTCATTCTCCTTGAATAGATTCTCTGTTCTTTTATAGCTCAAGTGGATTATTTCTTTAGCACTAAATAGCCCAAATTTCATAAAACCATGTGCTTTTAGATGCTATTTGTCAAAACTCCCTGCTTTCCTAATGAAGGAAGGATTGATAGGAGGAAAATGACTCAGAAACATACTCACCTACAGGTGTGGATTTTCCAAAGATCAATCTAGTATAGCTTCCAAACTGATGTTGGAATTACTCTCCACAGATGTTTGAATATTGATCCTCTGCCTGAATCCTGAAGTTAGTGGGCCAGAGAGAGAGAGCTCATTACTTTTTAAAGTGTCTGTTCACATTCTTGGGGCAGTCTCTTGACATCAAACCATTAACTCTTCTATTACATTGTTTCTCCAGTTGTCTTAGCTTTGTTCCTGGAGTCAGCCAAGAAAACACTCTTTATTGCCACTTGCATAGATTGTGAGCTGTATTTATCTTCTACTGTATAGTCTCTTTATAGGCCTTTTGTAAAGTTCTACATTTTCAGGCAGTAGTCAACATTGAAGATGTCTCACACACCAGTTGCTAGAATCATATTAATTTTAAATGAAATATGATCACTTTTGCTACTGTAGAGACTAAGATGAAAATTAAGCTTTGAGCTTGAAGCAAATTCATTTACAAACACTCTTACATACATGAACTCACACACTGCCCTGATGTTTGTCGGCACTCTGATTTCATGGTCTGTGGTCTGGTTTGTGGTATCCAAAATTTTACATTGCTGTGGCGAGCTCGTGCCTGAAGATATTTAGCTTTCTTACTTGAACACTTCATATAAACTTCTGCTATGTGATACTTCTCCTTTATCTTAATATCTCCCCAGTACTGCGACTTTTTAAATTAAAACTTGTTTGACAGTTCAAGAATTTTGAAATAACAAGATACGCATGGTATAAGAGATGAACCACGAAACGTTTAAGTTGAAATTTATTTAACCCACCACTGCTTCACTCCTCATGGATTCTGATAGTGAACTGAAAAACTCCAGTCATGCATTTGTTTTCCATTTCATTGGGATTTGAATATTACCCACTGAGAGTGAGGGGTAATTATTTTTAATAACAGTGACAAAATTAGAGGCCTTCATTTACTAGTTAAAATTCTTCCCTTGATTTAAAAGCAAATGCGAACAGAAGTTCTGAACTGATTTTTTATACATTTTACCTCCAGGCTGAATACTGGCTTTATAGCCTAAGCTACTAGCAACGGGATATTTTAAAGAAGCCACTATTGGGTATCATTTAACTCACTGTTAGAAGCAGTTTGCTCCCACTTTTCCTCTTGCTCATAGTTTTGCAGGAGAATGTACATGTATTACTTCCTAAGAACACATCATGAAGATACCTTCAGCCTTTTGCCTTGTTAACAAAATCCTGTGAAGGCGTTGTTTGTAATGAAGGAAAAAGAAATCTCAGCAGAATGCCTCACCTGTCTATGTTTTATTTTAACAGAAAAGATGACTCCACAGGGTGAGTGTTCCTTAGCTGAGACCTCAACCCCAGAGGAAGAGCATCAAATGAGGAGGATGATGGCAAAGCGGGAAAAGATCATCAAAGAGCTGATACAGACGGAAAAGGATTATCTCAATGATCTGGAGCTGTGTGTCAGGGAAGTGGTTCAGCCTCTGAGAAATAAAAAGGTAAATGCATATTTGAGGTTTTTTTTTTTTTTAATTTGTTTTTATCTCGTATCCTAAATAGGATCACTAGCACCATGAAATTGAAGCACTCTGATATATCAGAGGGGTGATGTGTCTTTCTGCGAAAAACAGCACTGTTCTCAACTCTGGGGTTACTGTTTAGTACAAAACATAGTCCTGCTCTTGTGGAGTTCACTTTCTAGAAAAGGATCAGAAAAGGAAGGGTCAGAGAGTACACAATAAATAAATAAGCAAATAAAGTTAAGATATGTTATATGGTGTGAAGTATAGCTGAGAAAACTAACGCAGGGAAAAGAAATGAAACATAGGGACAAGGCCGGGCATGGTGGCTCACACCTGTAATCCCGTCACTTTGGGAGGCCAAGGTGGGTGGAGCACCTGAGGTCAGGGGTTCGAGACTAGCCTGACCAACATGGTAGAACCCTGTCGCTCCTAAAAATGCAAAGTTAGCCGGGTGTGATGGCACATGCCTGTAATCCCTACTACTTGAGAGGCTGAGGCAGAAGAATTGCTTGAACCTGGGAGGTGGAGGTTGCAGTGAGCGGAGGTCACACCATTGCACTCCAGCCTGGGTGACAGAGCGAGACTCTATCTCAAAAAAAAAAAAAAAAAAAAAAAAAAAAGAAAAGAAAAGAAAAAAAGAAAAAAGAAAGAAAGAAATATCAGAACAAAGAGGTGGTCATTCTATTTCAAATACAGTGGCAGATTAAGACTTTTCTGTTGGAGGGCATTTAGCAGAGAATGGAAGGAGGTAACAGATGGTCTAGACAAAGTGGAATACAAGGGCAAAAACTCCAAAGAGTGATAATCTCATCATTAGGGTTATAAACACACAATTCAAACAATAAAGAAAAACGTAAGCTAGAAACTAAAAAGGGTCAGAAATTCCATGGTCAAAAAAAATTGCCATTAACACGATCAGACATTCCCCTTCAGATATCTATTTGAATGCTTACATGTACATATACAAGCACATACATTTTTACATAAATGTGATCAAAACTACAAATTATACCTTGTAACATATTTGTTTCATCCAGAAATCTGTTACATGTATCTTTTCATGAGTATTAATATTTTAAAGTATCTTTCTACTGTTATTATGGCTGAGATGTTTTGGTTGTTTCCTTATATCCTTAGAATAAATTCATGGATATTGAATTGCTAGGTCAAAGCGTATACATATTTAAGATTTTGAATAAAACTGACAATTGCCAGACAGAAAGTCAATATTATTTTAATATTCGTTCCTATTAATAATGATTCAGAGGACATTTTTTCTGCATCCTCTGTAATGCTGAGCATTGTTGATTTTATAAATGTTCTTTTGATTCCTTCTAATAATATCTTCTCATATATGCATTAACCTTTCCGTTACTCACATCCCTGTTTTATTTTCTTTTGAAAAACGATGGCTTAATATTTTTCTTGTTACTTTAAAAGACCTTTCTGTATATTAGGGATATTCTTTTTCCATCCCACATATTGCAAATAATTTTTCTGGTGAGTCTTTTGCTTTCTAACCTTGTTTTGGATGTGTTTATTTTGGTTTTGCCATGTTTAAGTAGTCAAATATATCCAACTTCATTAAGACTAGTTTCTTAATATGTTCCCCATGATTATAAAAGCACTGCTAGCCTGTTGTACCTCCAACTACTTACAAAATTCAGGAGCAGATTTTCTTTTCTTTTTTCTTTTTCTTTTTCTTTTTTTTTTTTGAGACAGTGCAGTGGTGCGATCTCGGCTCACTGCAACCTCCGCCTCCCGGGTTCAAGCAATTCTCCTGCCTCAGCCTCCCGAGTACTGGGACTACAGGTGTGCACCACCACGCCAAGCTAATTTTTTTGTATTCTTAGTAGAGACGGGGGTTTCACCATGTTGGCCAGGATGGTCTCGATCTCTTGACCTTGTGATCTGCCTGCCTCGGCCTCCCAAAGTGCTGAGATTACAGGCGTGAGCCACCGCACCCTGCCAATTTTCTATTTCTTAATACAGTACTCTTCTCAGAAATATTTTTTTAAAAAACCATCTGGCCTACAAATTAGGGAAAATCAGTATAGGTTAAGGGATTTTGATACAAAAATTGTTTTTTAATCTAAGACAATGTATAACGAAGAGTAGCAAAGCAGCTGTGGAAGCCTTTTCCTGACAGGAAGTCATCTTCTGCCTCATGACTTTTTATTAAGCAGTTACTATATGTCAGGCTCTGTTCCAAGCACTTCATTAGCATTCTCATTTAATCCTTCACAGTTCCCATGCCAGAATTACCAGGTACTTTCTGAAAACCTGGAATTTTCGTATTTATTGTGTAAGAGTAGAAGTAATTTGATGGTCATGATACAAATTTGCTCTTTAGTGTCATTGCTAAGTATATAAATGTTCTCTGGTGTGTTTTCTTTCATTTTATTAATATGTAAACTAAATGTATTTGATACAACTGCTCTTCTGGCAGATATCAATGGTTGCTAACATGTTCATTTACATATTTACTAAAATATTGATTTTAAATGTACATGACATCAGACTCTGTCACTATCTACCTTTCCTTACAGTGCAGTCTTTTCTGTGAACACTTATTCTTTGAGATTTTTGGAACCTAGCCCACTGTGTGTATGCATTCTCTCTCTTGCTCTCTCTCTCTCCTCCTTCCTAATTCTGACATCATTTTTAGGTGATTTCAATGTTCATGCAAATAACCCATGCAACATTTGGGCCTCTCAGTTCTTTCACTTTTTCATATCCAATGATTTTTCCTCAGTCCCATTCAGCCACTCATGCCATCGCCACAACCTAGAACCTGTCATTACCAACAACTTCATCCCCTCAAAATCAGAATTTCACACTTACTATGCTCTGATGCCCAAGCGTACTCCCACTGGTACCATCTCTGACAACGTTCTGATGGCACCCAGACTTCCAAGCTGTGGACCTTACCACCATTTCCCTGATCACAGGGCCCAAAGATGCTTTCATTTCTACAGTTCCCTCATTATAATCACTCCTTGCATATGACCTCAGTTCCTTTTTCTCTCTTTCTTTCCTTTTACTCCCTCACAACAACTTACTTGGGTGAAGTTCATCTACTTCACACCTTTACCTGTGCAGCTGAGATAATCTCTTAAAAAATTCACGATCACTTTCTACTGGGGCCCACAGTAATGTTTCTTAGGAGATTCTCTCACACCTTTTTATTCACATGTCAAATATCCCTTTTTCTTCTCTCAGCTTATGCCCGTTTCCATCATTTCATAGAGAAACTAAAAACAGTAAGAAGTGCCCACTCTCAACACCAAATCTACCAACCTACTGCATCTCTACCTATGTGAGTTGGCTTCTTCCTCTTACCAGAAGCAATGATTCCTGCTTCTAACGAAGGATGACCTCTCTACTGTAGAGAACCATTGGATTCTATCCCCTCAGACTTAAGGGTTTTACTCCTGCCTGTGTTCTTTCTTTTTCCTGAATAATTAGTTTGCCCTTCTTATTGAATCATTCATAGCACCATTATCTACTATCTTACAAACCAAAAACTAACACAAACAAACAAACAAAAAATCTTTTTCCTTGATCCTAAAGGAGTTATCTATATTCACTGTCTTTCTCTTTTTAAATTAAATACAAAATATTTACTAGGTATGAAAGCATTTGTCACTAAAACATGTTTCAAAATAAGCACAATTTATTAAAAATTTGTCCCTGTGGTTGGCTAACAATCAATATAAAAAACACTAAAACCATGACCAGGTGCAGTGACTCACACCTGTAATCCTAGCACTTTGGAGAGAACAGCATAACTGGGAGGATTGCTTGAGGCCAAGAGTTTGAGACCAGACTGGGGAGCATAAGGAGACCTCATCCCTATTAAAAAAAAAAAAAAATAGCCAAGTGTGGCGGCTTGCTTCTGTAGTTCAAGTTACTCAGGAGACTGAGGTGGGAGTGTCACTTGAGCCGAGGAGGTTGAGGCTGCTGTGAGCCATGATCACGCCAATATACTGCAGCCTGGGAGACAGAGCGAGACGCTCTCTCCAGAAGAAACAAACAAACAAACAGACAAAACATCATATGCAAGAAAAGTCTTGCTTTCAATCCTTAGTTTACATTTTATCAAATGGAATAAGCTTATTCAGTATGAAAATGTCACCATTTTAAATAAACTGCTACATTGGTGAGTCAAACTAACCCCACTAAAATGAATGTCATTGCTGAGCTGTATTCTTATACATGTTCTCCAATTTTTGTTTGTGTTTTTATTTTTGTTATTTTTCTGTACTTGTTTTTGGCTTCCTATGAAACTCTTGTAAGCAGGTCTCAGAATTAGCGTCTTAAACCAAGTCAAATAAAACTTTTCCATTATGGTAACATTTATGGTGGTTTATTTGGCACATTTAGCTTTTGCTGTCAATGCTGTGAATTACAATTCTCATAATTCTAATGCATATTTTCTAGATTGTTTTATTTGTGTTACTTATAGCTTGTTGATTTTTCACACTTAGTACCTTGTTGCTTAGTACCTTGTTTCAATGCTATCTGCTCTCTGCCCTCCTTACTTAGGACTTTAATTTCATTCTAATAGTCAGTTCTCTCCTCTAAGGTAGTAGCAATTCTCTTAAGGTTCTCAGAATTCTCATATCAGGTCTGCCTTTTTCCCACTTCTCAAAGCTTTTAACCTTTGATTAAGTAAATAAGTGTTGTATTCATATGACTGTATAAGCATTTATATGAGTGCTGAGGTAGTTAGTTGACACCACCAGGTCGTTCAGTTTACCATCTTTTCAATGTTCATTAGCTCTTTCCTGTTCTTACTTCCCTCCTGGACATTTAACTACCAGTGTCTTTGAGCACAAACCACCTGTCATCATTATGAAAATTTGTAGATTACCACATACAGTTTTCAGATAACTATGGCAACAACCTGCAAACCATGCTTAGCTAAACCTGGGCAACATCAGTAAGTATTTTACAAGTACAGGTTAAGCTAG